GTTATGTTTTTGTTGCGTGAGACATCACCAATGAGACAACACGGTTGTTCTCTCGACGTTGCGTTAGAGATGACCTTTGTCGTGGGTGATACATGAGGATATTAGACGAATGATTGAGTTGTGTTTAACATGATTAGAAGAATGCATGTGTTATCAATTGATGAGATCCAATCCCAACAAGGCTCTGTTTATATTTCAGTCTTTACTTTATATTTTCCGTCTTTATATTTTCTGCCTTTTATTCATGGTTCATTAAGCCTTTTAAACCAAACCTTTTGAACAAAAAGTTTAGAAATGTAGAGACCGTGGAACGGTGTTCTTTCATCGCACCAATCCCTATGGAGACAACAAAATTGGGTACTTAATATTTTTGCTTGCTGCTTTACCGCTATAATACGTAGTCCGTTGAATTCTTGCAGATGCATTGCATTCTTGCGTAGTATGAATGCGTGAATTTGTAGTTTTACTGTGATTGTTGAATTGGTGAAAATTGGATGCGTTGAAGCTGGTCTTGATGAAGATGGTGGTTTGTGCGATTGCTACAACTTGTTGAAAGTGGTTGAAGATTGAAGGAATTTGAAGTGTGAAGTGAGTTCTGTAGAAGTGAAGAAGAAGGATGATGAAAATGGGAAGAACGAAAACTAAAGACGTTTCTCGTCACAATTCAGTTGCATCCTGGGTTTTATAGATGACTTAGGAAGGGTAATTTGGTATTTGCAATTGAAATTCTGTTAGGGAGTTTGTTAGAGATTTTGTTATAAACTTAATTCTGTTATGACTTTGTATGCTTTTACATTTTTCTTCTTCTTGTTATTATGACTTAATTCAATGATTTGTATCTTGCCCTGTACTTTCATTTTGCTTCTATGTATTTTCCGTGTTTTGTTTTTTGTGTTGTGATTTTCTTCTGTTGGTACATTAAGAGCCATTTGCAACCTCTTCTTCACAGTATATGCATTGTCACTATGATCCACTTCCATGATCAAGACATACCTGGTTTACGTTTGCACAAAAAAAACCTTCTTCTGCCTGAAAGTTGTTTGCCTTCCATTATCTTACTCTCAAGGTACTCCCTACCAAGCGAACTACAAAATAAAGCCACAACCATCTGGGTTTGAACATGGATGTCTAATTTACAAGACATGTGTCGGGGCTAGGATCGGGTAATTCTTGCAAAGGACAAAAGACTGGTAGTGGAGTAAAGCTTCTCTTTTCCCAAGAAGTCTCCAAACTCCAAAACCAATGAAACTAATATGAAACCAGACTCTAAATCCCCAACAATCATTAACATTAACAAAAGTATTAAACCGAACTAGGCATAGAGATCCCCAAATGTATAAATTAGCTCCTCTAGAGGTGTGTAGCAATTTGGAATTCCATACTTATCTGATATGCATTTATATGGACAAGAGCACTTTGTAAATACGGATTAGGCAATTGGTTTGGACTTTTGGACGTAAAATGAAATTGGATATTTTGTTTTAGATATGAGTTTGGGTTTAACAATGGGTAATTGGTTTTGGAAATTGGTAAAATAGATTAATGGATATTTATAAAATGAATTGAAATGGATTTAAATTCTAAACAAAATGGACATGGACATGAATTTGTCTAGAAGATGGATTTGGATATTTGTTTTTTGGTTATTAGATGTTGGATATGAAAAATGGTTTAAAGGATGGTTATTGGACAAAAATGGTTTTGAAGTGGACTAACAAGAACATATGTGGATAAGTAAATGAAATGGTTTTTGAATTGAGACATGACTTGAATCCCAAGAAAACTTCCAATGCACCATTTGAATCATATCTCGAATAAACTTGAATGAACTCATTACCCAATATTATGCAAGGTGCCTAGGCAAGAACACAAAACTTAGCCATGAATGAAGCTTGCCTGATCATGAACTTGCAATGACACGTGGACCTTCTTTGACTTTCACCTCCTGGAGATTCCTCGAATCCAAACCCTAATTAGATAAGTACATCAAGAATTCCTTAATAACATGTACCTCAAACCTTGATGAAGGACTAAAAGTATTTGTGAATAGTCTTTACAAGTGAACTTCTTGAAGACCACTTGACTAGGGAAATAAACCCTAACCAAGTGATGATGATGAACATAAGAAGATGATTCTCTCGATGGTTGTATAGCCAATGCCTTTAGTATGCACCAAAACCTTAATCATGAGGGATGAAGTCCTAGCTCCATGATTTGTGTACCCACTTGAGCCACAACTTGTATGAAGATGAAAACCTTTATTTACACCAATTAAAACCCTAATCCACTTGCAGCTTGAGGAATCTTGAAGAAGATAAGCTTGATATTTGATGAACTTTGATAAGAAGGTACTCATGATGTTGTGAGCTCAAACATTCGTCTCAATTTGAGTGCAATAGCCAGATAAATCAACTCGGAATAGGGAGAACTCAAACCACAAGAAAATGCTTTGATCCGTGTCTTATGATCTCAATATAAATGAATGAATATATGACCTAATGAAAAAAAGAAAAAGCATATGAATGCGAAACAAGAGCCAATTAAGGTTAGCAGTGAGAGGGAAAATTTTGAGGTGCAACAGGTTTTTCCGACTTTTGACATTTTTCCACGCTTAACTTTTTTTCGATCCTTTTTCACCTCAAAAACTCATTAGACCTTAAAAATAATAAAAGCACACAACCAAAGCATAAAATATGATAAACGAAAACGAATCGGAAAAAGCGGTAAAAAGCTAAGTAAAAACGGCTAGTAAAGACGTTACAGAAATCACTTATCAATCTTAAGTTAATTAAAGCTAGTGTGAACCTTATAAACATATATTCTCATTTTTTCGGCCAAATTTTCAATGCCTCTAAGTCCTTAATCTTTGTTAGAGCTATGCATCCCATTAGGCACAAGATGCTTGTTTATTTGTTTGGATTCACAATTACTTTCCCTCCCATTCTCTATCTTGAAGCTCCTATCTTCATTGATAGACCAAAGAACATTCATTTTCAATTCATTATTGATAATATCATATTGAAGCTTGCTGCTTGGAAGACTAACCTTATTTTTATGGCAAGAAGAATACAACTAGTAAAGTCTGTTGTGCATGATATATTGATGCATCACTTAAGCATATATAGCTGGTATAATAGTGACATTAAGAACATAAAGACTTGGATGCGAAATTTTATTTGGAGTGTGGAATTGGACAAGATGAAAATGGTTACAATGGTCTGGAAGAAGTGTGTAAAAGCCTTAAAGAAGGAGGTTTTGGCATAAGAGACATATTAGTTTTAAATGACGCTTCCAATCTTCATCTCTGTTGGTTTATGGTTCAAGAAAACAAATGTTGGGCTAGACTTTTGGCTTTAAGAGTTATCAAAAGAAATATGGTCATTTCTCACCATATTCATTCCTTATCATGGAGTACCTTGAAATACCAATTCACTACAGATAAAGATAATACTCATTGGTGGCAAAGTAATGGTAATAAAATTAACTTCTAGTTTGACACTTGGTTGGATGTTCCTCTTGTCCAAAACTTTAACATTTTTTGCTATTCATCACAACTTTTTTCAACTCTTGTTGATGATTACTTGGTCAACAAATCTTGGTCGATTCCTCTAAATCTCCAAAATTGATTTCCATTATCTTATCTTTAAGAGTTATCAAAAGACGGTTTGTTACTCCTTCAATGTACTTTCTTTTCCATTATCATTCTAAAAGCACAAACCAATTATTTTTTGAATGTCAGTTTACTTCCAACATATGAAGACGATTCTTAGTTTCCTTTAACCTTCACCATTCCATGTTCATCATTTTGGATTGTTGAAAAACCTTAAACTTGGTATGGTCCCCTCAGGTGCATGTTGTAATCAACTATTGTTTAATTAATGTGTTCTATGATATTTAGAACGCTAGAAGAAAAACAATATTTGATGGTAAGGTTATGCATTGGAAAGCTTATTTGGCTTCCATTTCTTTGAATGCCAAGATATATGGAAATCACATTGCAAAGGCTTCCAACTCCTCTATGGTCAGTTTTTGCATCTTTAAGAAATTCAACATTTCTATTCATCTTCCTAAGTGGAAGAAGACTTTGGAAATTCTATGACAATGTCCTACTTTAGGTTGGATTAAATGCAATATATATGACAAGGTTAGAGGATTTTCTACTGTGTTTCCGCGGCATAATTTGTAGAAATAAGACATCTGATCATGTTGGAAGTTTTACTTTCTTTTTGGGAGAAAGTAGCGTTTTATTGCCTGAATTTACTACAACAATGATAGACAGTCAAATTAGTTTTAAAATTTTTTTGAGGATGTTTTAGTTTGAATCAGATTCAATCCTTGTAGTGAAAGCTTTCTCCAATGCAAATTTAGTTTCTTGGAGGATGAGATCAAAAGATGGTTAAATTGCTTACTCTCTCATTCTATAGACTTTATGTTATGGTCTAATGTATTTAGGGGAAAAAATTGCTTGTGCAGACAAATTAATTATCATTCATTTTCTCTCTATATCTCACTCTTAATTCCATTTTGTGCATTATGATATAGCCAATAATTTATTGTTAAACAAGCTTGGTACCTTGAATATCTAAAAAAATATAAAACATGCAAACAAGAAAAAAAAAAGGATAAATAATTAAACTTCAAACTAAAGAGATAAGACATTTAGGAAATATTTTTGTCTATTTTCTCCATTTACAAGGATCTAAGTACGTATAAAATTTTCTAGTTGTATAGATATGAGAATTTAGATGATAGTGTCCTTCCTCAACACTGTCATCCATAATTTTTAGTAAATGGTAGCCCATTCTATTGTACTATTGTAGCTAGTTAATACTAGTAACAACTAATTCATCACAATAATAATCACCTTCCATTCCCTTTCCTCCACTCACATTCTCTCACTCTCTCACTCTCACACTCTCAATCAAACACATGGACTCAAATCTACTTTATCTTCTTTAAATCAAATTTTCCTCACTCCACTCACACACCCCTCTCCAAAAATGTCTCCATTCCCTTCCCTCATTCTCCTCTTTTTCTTCACACTCCCACCTCCTTCATTCTCATCTTCCTCAACCTTCATCATCCAAGTCCAACACGATTCAAAACCTTCCATTTTCCCATCTCACAGAAACTGGTACGAGTCCTCACTTTCCTCTATCACAACCACACCCAACACTATCATTCACACATACGACACCGTTTTTCATGGCTTCTCAGCTAAGCTCTCACCTCTAGAAGCTCAAAATCTTGAATCACTTCCTCATGTTATTGCTGTTATACCTGAACAAATTCGAACCCTTCATACAACTCGTTCACCGCAGTTTCTAGGCTTGAAGACCGCTGATAGAACTGGGTTGCTCCATGAAACGGATTTCGGGTCGGATCTTGTTATTGGAGTTATTGATACCGGAATCTGGCCGGAGAGGGAAAGTTTTAATGATCGTGAGCTTGGTCCGGTGCCGGCGAAATGGAAAGGACAGTGTGTTGCTGGGAAGGATTTTCCGGTGAGTGTTTGTAATAGGAAAATCATCGGAGCAAAGTATTTCTCCGGCGGGTATGAAGCTACCAGCGGGAAGATGAATGAGACTAGTGAGTATCGTTCGGTTAGAGACTCGGATGGACATGGAACCCACACTGCTTCCATCGCCGCCGGGAGGTATGTTTCTCCGGCGTCTACGTTGGGTTTTGCTAAAGGTGTTGCGGCTGGGATGGCTCCGAAGGCTCGTCTTGCTGTTTATAAAGTTTGCTGGAGTGGTGGTTGTTTTGACTCTGATATTCTTGCCGCCTTTGATGCTGCGGTGGCGGACGGTGTCGACGTGGTTTCTCTCAGTGTCGGTGGGGTTGTTGTGCCGTACCATCTTGACGTCATTGCTATCGGTGCTTTTGGAGCTTCTAATGCCGGAGTTTTTGTCTCTGCCTCTGCCGGAAACGGTGGTCCCGGTGGGCTCACCGTCACCAATGTAGCTCCTTGGGTGGCTACTGTCGGTGCTGGAACCATAGATAGAGATTTTCCTGCAGATGTGAAGCTTGGAAATGGTAAGGTTATACCTGGAGTTAGTATCTATGGTGGGCCGGGTCTAACTCCGGGTCGTATGTATCCGATTGTGTATGCCGGGAGTACTGAACACGGTGGCGAAGGTGGTGATGGTTATTCCTCTTCACTCTGTTTAGAAGGTTCTTTGGATCCTAAGTCTGTGAGAGGAAAAATTGTTGTTTGTGATAGAGGCATTAATTCGAGAGCAGATAAAGGCGAAGTAGTGAAAAAATCAGGTGGAATTGGCATGATTTTGGCTAATGGAGTGTTCGACGGTGAAGGGTTAGTGGCCGATTGCCACATTTTACCCGCTACATCGGTTGGTGCAATAGGTGGCGATGTAATTAGAAGTTACATCGCCTCTGCCGAAAAATCGGTTGGATCAGTACCGACCGCAACTATTGTGTTTAAGGGAACTAGGCTTGGGGTTAGGCCAGCTCCTGTGGTAGCATCATTCTCAGCGAGAGGGCCTAACCCTGAATCGCCCGAGATTTTGAAACCGGATGTTATAGCACCTGGTTTAAACATTCTAGCTGCCTGGCCAGACAAAGTTGGACCTTCCGGTATCGCTTCTGATCATAGGAGGACCGAATTTAACATATTGTCGGGTACATCTATGGCGTGTCCTCACGTTTCCGGTTTAGCTGCTTTGTTGAAAGCAGCTCACCCTGATTGGAGCCCAGCTGCAATTAAATCAGCTCTTATGACCACTGCTTATACGGTCGACAACAAAGGCGATCCAATGTTGGATGAATCAAACGGTAACATTTCATCCGTGTTTGATTATGGAGCAGGACACGTTCATCCCGAGAAAGCATTGGATCCTGGTTTGGTTTATGATATCTCAGTTTATGATTACGTCGATTTCTTGTGTAACTCAAATTACACCACAAAGAACATTCAAACAATCACAAGAAAAACTGCAGATTGTAGCAATGCTAAAAAAGCCGGCCACGCCGGAAACTTGAATTACCCATCATTATCTGCAGTTTTTCAACAATATGGAAAACATAAAATGTCTACACATTTCATCAGGACTGTGACCAATGTTGGCGACCCGAAATCAGTTTACAAAGTAACAATTAACCCACCAGAGGGAATAGTGGTAACCGTAAAACCAGACATGTTGCATTTTCGAAGAATTGGTCAGAAATTGAATTTCCTTGTTAGGGTACAAACTAGAGAAGTTAAGCTTTCACCTGGAAGTTCATTAGTGAAAAGTGGTTCCATAGTTTGGTTTGATGGAAAACACACTGTCACAAGTCCTTTGGTTGTGACAATGCAGCAACCTCTTGATTAGAGTTCTTTTTTGTGTGTAGAAATTTTGGCTTTTTATCCCATCTTGTGATAAATTAGCTCAATATGTATAATATATTACTATGAATATGTTTTCAGGTGTTTCAATTCTAAGAAGTGGTGGAAAAGTTTCATAAAAATAGTATGTGTATATTTTTTTTGATGTTGTAAAATTAAGAATGTTGTGTTTGGAACAGAACATGTATACTGGGAAGATCCCTTTTCTTTTTTAAGTAAATTATGTTGAATACTTTTTTGGTATATACATATTTAGTGATGTTTGGTAATGGCATCATTGGCATGTGCATAAAGAAGATGATAATGTTTTTATGCAGAAAGAAGCTTTTGGTAAAAGCGTGGATACTGTGATTGTGACAAACATGAGAGGATCCTTTGAAATATTTGGGATTATTGTATTTTGCTGCTGTTGTTTTGTGATGATCACATGATATACTGTGACCATGCAAAAACAACATTGGCAGATAGTATCATTACTTTTTTATTCAGAAAATGACAAAGATTTGCCCTAAAATTTTAAAATAAGAATCTTGTGATATATTTAGGATTGACCAGTAGGGTTGGCAATGAAATGATACATTTTAAATTACTTTGAAAGACTTTGTGTATGATTAATTTGTTGAGTTTAGTTCATGAATTAAATGATTTGAATCTGAGGTAAAGACTTAGTTTGTATGTGTAATTTGACTTGTTTATTTTATGTTGGTGGATATTATAAAAAACAGACGGACCCTTCTGCATCCATGTGTCTGTCTGGACGTTGGTTTTAATAATTGAAATAAATAAGTATTTGACAATGAGGTTGTTCTATGTTTCTTGTATTTGTTAAGTTGAGATCTCTTAAACTTAATTTTAAAAAATAGAATAAATAGATATTTGACAATATTCATTATAAAGTCTTTCAAGCTATTGATAAAATTAACAAAATACAAAGTTTGATCAGTAATATAGGTTACAATAATATTTTGAATTGGGTTAAATATATTTTTGGTCCCTGTAAATATTTGACATTTTATTTTTAATCTCTAAAAAAACATATTTTAGTTCCTACAAAAATTTTATGCATACAATTTTAATCCTTGCTATTTTCTAAAATTTTGAAAACTATTTAATTATCTCTAAATTTTAAATTTTTGAATAGTTTTTTTCATACGTGTTCAGATTACTACAAAATATTTATTTACCTAATCATATAATTTTTTAAAATGACAAGAATTAAATATAAATTTTTTAAATTTCAAAAGATAATGATAAAAGTAATAAAAATCTCGACTTATAAATTAAATTTTGAGTTCTTTTTTTCGAGAAATTTTTTATAACGTTCTAAACATAAATGTAAAATAACCATTCAAAAATACACATTGATTTAACAGTAAGGACTAAAACTACGTGCATAATTATTTTGTTGGGATCAAAACAAACTATTTTTTTTATAGGAACAAAAAATAAAATTTGGTATTTTATAAGGATAAAAAACATATTTAATCGTTTTGAATTAGAGCAAAAATGGTCAAATTTTTATTAGATAACACATTGCATATGCATAACCAGTTTTGAAGGAATAAAGTTAGGAATAAGTGGTTCAAGAATGCAGAGATGAATATAAATTTTTTCACAATACAATCAAATTGAGATATGATAGACTGAGACAAAATCATGTTATTAACTTCTACAAAAATTATTTAGCTTAAAAAACTACAATTATACTAATATGTTAGATAGAACTATCCCATAACTTATAACTCATGCAAATAATGAGTATCTCACTAGAATGCTCCAACTATTATAGAAAATTAATAATGCGGTGCACAATATGGATGGTAGTTCTGCTCTAAACCCTGATGGTATTGGTAAAGACAAATGTGACCAATTCGATGAATCAATTTTTTGAATAAGGTTGAATCTTTTCTAATCTCAATTCACGCAATGTGACTTTGATACCTAAATAACATGTAACCGATTCTATTGAACAGTAGAAATCTTATGCACTTGCAAATTTTTAATAGTAGACGACAAGAATGGATCAGACATTGAGATGAGATTTTGGAATTGTAGATGGTGTGTGGTAAGTCCTCACAACTTTTTACTTCTTTTTACTAGATTCAAAGGTTGAAGAAGTTACAGAAGCATGTGATTATTGTTTGTAACACAATCTTAACTTAAAGAATTATTTTGTTACAAATATTAAACTTGAAGTAACACATTGAATGAATAATTTTTAATACATTTAGGTAAATGACAATGAAGCTGGATGCAAATTCTTCATGTGGAATGTAGACAAAATTATTTAATAGTAGACAACAGATACTCAACGTCGAAATTGTGTGAAGAAAGATATTGAAATATTTAAATAAAAATGGAAATTTAAAAGATGGTGAATGAAGAAATGTCTTGAGTGAAAATTTATTGAAAGTGTTATTTTTACATGCTTGTTCTTAGCAATATGTTTTGTTAATAATAGTCTAAAATGAAATTGTCTTTAATATAGATTGTCCTGTTGATTTAAATTATAAAGTTTTGTGTTTAAGTTTTGGAACCTAATATGACTATAAAAAGAAGTTAACAGTTCTGATATAATATGGTTCTTGAACAAAGTTTTTTACATCAAATTCATCGAAAAAATCATAATATTATGACATGTGATCAAAATATATAGATTATAAGTAATGTCATGTCATTTAAAGATCATACTTGAGCACAATATAGTAAAGATTCTAAAATACAATGTTAAAATTTTAAGATTTTAGCTTCCTTATGTGTATTTTGGAACTTGTCCTTATTCTTCAAGTGTCAATCTCTTTGACCAAGTATAAGTTTTTTTCAATTGTTTTTGTCTTATGGGTTGGATTTAGTTGAGATGTAACCCTTGGTGCAACTTTGTTAGACTTAATTTTTTTTCATATTTGGATGTAATCGCAAGGGCATATGCCGATTGTGTGCATGAGCAGGGTCAAGTGCAACTATGATGCTAAAGTTGTTTGTGACGTGGAAGTAGGTATGGGTGGCAAAATTGGTAAGGTCTATTGGACATGTCTGTATTTTTTTTGCGAGACGAGTCAATATTTTATACTCGCACCTCCTAATGTGTCTTCCTTGCCTCATATTATTTTTCTGGGTTTTTGGAGACGTGGACATTAACATAATTTTTATTGTTACATTTTTAGACTTAAAAGGTGTAGTGTCTGTGGGTCTGCCCCATCCTTTTTTTTTTGCGAGATGGACACAGATTTTTAGCCTGCACCTTCAATTATGTCTGTTCCATATTGTTTTATTGTGGTCTTTTGTAGTTTGGGCATAAACAGAGCTTGCATGCCCATTTCCACCCCTAGTAGCAGGTGTAAGTTTTGATGCATGAGCAGAGGTAGGAATAACCTGTGATATGCCAAGATTGGATATGACATGGTAGCAGATGTAGGATGTGATGCATGGAAGGGATATGAGAAACATGTGATGATGAAGTTGATCATGATATGGTAGGAAATGCATACTTTAACATGGTAGAAAATGTAGGTTGTGACATGTTAGCATGTGCATCATGTGATATTGAGCAGTAGCATTGGCAACCTTGCAAAATGTTTTCTTTTGACTAATTTGTTTGTAGACTGACCACTTATTAGTTATACCGTTTTCACTAATCAGTGATAAATCTCTGACTTTCTAAATATTTTTGGTCTATCTGATATTCTTTTAAATAGTGGTGAATAATGGTTGTAAAATACTAGTGCATGATGTATGCTCCTATAACTTTCTTCCATTTGTTGCATAAATGAATGATTCATAACATTCTTTATATGTATTTTTTTTTGTAAAAGTCAAGAATAACGTTCATCAAATTTTCAGCCATGTCATTGTAACATGTTACAACATAGAATACCCGACAACATTCATCTTCTACATGAACACTCTATTGTTTGCAAGTTGACCATGTATTTTTCTCCGGATCAATAAATGTTAAACACTTCATTTGAAAGAGGGGGAATAAGAGTATTCATTTGGCCTGAACTTGGTTTTTTAATAGGTCAAGGTTGAATTCACACTCCTTCTCGAATTGAATTTCAAATCATATCTGTTGCCTGAGCCAATAACAGTTCAAGTGGTAAGGTCTGCTCCTCTTCTTAGTGTGGTATTGGTGGTTCCAATGGTGCTCTGTTTCTGTTGATGGTGGGTTGGTGGTTTGAGATCTAGTTCGCCTATTTTGCTTGGAGTTTTTTGGTGCTTCGGGGTTTTGTCTTGGTTTTCTGGCAAGGTTGGTTTTTGGGGTGTTATGGTTTCTTTTCAGGAGGTTCTCTTTTGTTTTTTCCTTAGTGTTTTGTTCTTTTGGCATTTCTTGTACTTTGGGGCTTTTTGCGGAGATTTTCCCTCTTGAACTTTTGATGTTTTTCTTTATATATGTATATGTGTGTGTGTGTGTGTGTGTGTGTGTGTGTGACCTTCAAAGAAAAAAACACTTCATTTATCATATCCCCACACTGTTGGGGCTATTCGAGGAGTCAACATAAGGGAGTATATTTACACTTTATAGTTTTTCTTAAAGAGCAACACACCTTTGTGAGAGACACACTACATACTCACCCAAAACCTTAGGCGATAGGTGTGTGGATTATCCCACTTATAAATGATCAACTCTCCACATTCCTAAACAATGTGGGACTTCTTCACACTACTCACAATTGTAATTCTTTTTCAACACTCCCCCTCAATTGTGAGTCTATTCACAATGACATGGACACTTTTCAACAAGTCACCTCTAATACCACTCTTGGGGGGACGAGGGATCATTTTTACACTTTGTGACTTTTTCTTTAAAAGCAACACACCCTTGTGTGAGACACACCACATACTCACCCAAAACCTCAAATCTCCACATTTCTAACCAATATAAGACTTCTCCACAACTCACTTGTAGTTTTTTTTCAACACGGAGGAACATTTTTAAAATTTGCAGGTTTTTCTACACACCTTTGTGAGAGATACGCCACATACTCA